AGGGGGGTGGCTTCATGCCTTGCTGCCCCGGTTCATGTCCCCTCGGACCCTTCCAGACTCAGAGAGAGACCAGACGACTGCCTTCCTGGGCCAGTGATATGTGGACGCCACTGGGGAAGAGACCCTGCACACCCTGTGGCTCCTGCAAGAGGTGGCCGAGGGCCCTGACAAGGACTGGAAAGTCACCCGGTGAGTGCTGGGTCCCAGCCACTGCTGTACCAAGCTTTCCTGCACCCTGGGCTGGAGAGGGGAGAAATCCCATGGGATGAGACACAGTGGGACTGGGAGGGTGAAATGGGTTTGTCCCTGGTGATGAACAGGGGCTAAGGAGCATCCCTGTGACCTGGCCAGTTCCTGCATCCCAGGTGTGCCCCAGGGCTGGGTGAGCCCAGGATGGGGTCTGGCCCCAGCTGGACCCCCCTGGAACTCCCCTCACACATAGCCCAGGGGGGAGAGAGCAGAGCATGATGCCAGCACCCAGAGCAGCCTCTGCCACAGGGTGCTGGAGCCCTGCTCAGCACCCAGCAAGGACATGGTGCCCCTCCCTCGGGTTTCCCCTCTGTACCCACCACCACAGCATAGGTGACCCCAGCTGAATGAACCACAGTGATTTGGGGTTTCCTGCAGGATTGGCACCAGCGTTTTCACCCCAATAAAATAACAGCATGTGGGAAAATGCAGGAGGCACAGGCCAGGCCCACAAGGAGACAATGATCCCCCTGGCCAGGCTCTGCCCGTGCTGACGTGCTGTGTTTTGGCAGCTTTCAGCCCATGGGTTCATGTTTTCCCAGGCAAGTTCAGACTAGCATGAAGGCTGGACACCAGGCACAAAATAAAGGGTTTCTGTGGGGATGTAGGGCTTGGCTCTGGTTTCTGCCCTGCCTCAAACCTGCAGGGTTTTTCTTGCCCCACAGCCACCCTCCCATGGGGAGGCTTTGTGCATCATCGCTGAGGGCAGCAGGGTCCCTGGGGATGGGGGCTGTTCCTTGTCACTTCCCTGGCAGCGTGCAGCAGCGCTGCGCCTGCAAATCTATTGCTGTGCTGCGGGCAACTTGTCCCTCGGGGTCCCTCCCAAACATCCCCAGGGGTGCAGGGCAAACCAGGCTGTGTTCAGGTGGCGGGATGAGGCACAGCCTCAGCGGGACACTGTGGGGTCTGGGGCAGGCTCCAGGCAGCTCACGCTCCCCGCGTGAGCAGAGCGGAGGAAGTTTCTCAGGTGCCTGAATGCATGGGGCAGCTGCAAATGGCTTTTGCAGAGCTGGCAGCCTCCTGTTCCCAGCCCTGGTGGATGTGCTGCGGCAGCCGGCTGCCAACTGCCCTCCTGCACCAGGGGAGGAGAGAGCCCCCTCGGTGTGGCCATGTCCCCGGAGCAATGCACACATGGGGGTCTCCAGCCAAGCCCCTGCTACACAGCGTGTGGCCAGGGAAAGGGAAGAGGGGAAAGACGCATTTGGCACCAGCTTTTTTTGTTTTCGGGCATCCCAGCCCAACCTCTCCACTTTCTGCCTCAGACACCTTGCCAAAGCAGTCCCGACACAAACAGCTCCCTTGAGGGTTCAACAGCCCTGGGGCCAAGGTGCCCAGTTTCAGGAGCTGGGGGAAGGTGGTGGCTCCATTGCTGTATTTCCAGCTTCTTTTTTAACCAGGCACTCAGATTTCTACTGGATTTTCTGTTTCCACTAATATCCAGCAGCTGGTGCTAGTGGATAAAAACAGGATGGATGCTAACCTGGGGTTTAGGTTTCCCTTAGAAAGGAGGATATGTCTTACTTCTGCTCCTGACTGAAATTCTCACCTCACCGAGAAACCCCAATTCCTTTAAAGCTGTGAGCAGGAGGTGTTTTGTACCAGTCACACAGCCAGCAATAGGAGACAAATTCCATTTCACACTTTCAAAAAGTTTCAATATAAGCTGCTACCATAGAAGGGAAATGGCACTACCGACACTCAGGGAGTCACCAAGCAAAAAAGAGAGGGTTTCCATTCAGCAACACCTGTATGGGACTTACCAAGGGCTGAGCAGAATATTTTGCCTCGAAAGGCTCATGTTTCTGGTCCATCAGCACGCTCCCATGCTGCTGATGCAGACACCTGCCAGGGGACATGCATGGGATGTGAGTCAACCTCGGGAATAACAGAGAGAACACAGTGGGAAGGGCAAGCAGGGACTGTAACATCGACCTAAGCCAGAACGTTGAGGCCGCATGTGCATGCAGGCAGTGCACGATGCACAGATGGCGTGCGCTCTGATCCCTGCAGCATGCAAGGAAAAAAGATGTCATGGACAGTCTGCAGCAAAGAGGAGGAGGGTCGCAGAAATACCAGGCTCCTCCTGTTCCTCTGCCTGATGGAAACAAGGTGCGAGCCTCTTCAGCCAAAGGACTCATTCTGGGCATTTTTATCATCATTGCCCCTTAACCCAAGGTGTGAGGCCCAGGCTGGGCTTCCTTCCTCTTGCTGGCTCAGAGCCACTCGCTGTAGGACCAGCACAAGAACACAGAAAGCAATGAAAAATAGCAGCTCTGGGGCAGCACGGGCTGAGATCGCAGAGCAACCATCCCCAAAACTCCCAATGCAGTACCAAGACCAGCTCTGGACTCTGAGATATCCCAGCCTCTGCCACAATCTTTCTGCGTGGAAGGGCTGTGCTGGCTGGTGTGAGCAGTGCCTAGTGGCAGGAGCGCGTGTTCGGCTGCGTTTGATGAAGAGCCCGCTGTGCTTGCCTGGCTCCCTGCCCACTATCGCAGAGCTATCTCCCCTCCTGACATTTGGCCAAGCAAGCCAGACTGCCGCAGAGCATGGTGCTGACCCTGTCACCCCTGGCCAAACACCAGCTCCGGTGGCCGCTCCCTGCATTGCTGGCAACATCACTGTGTTTTATTTTGGATGATTCATACAGATATTAATTAGCACCGGGCCAGGGACTCCAGGTGACATCAGTGGCATTACGCACCCTGGCCTTGAACTGCAAAAAATGAAATGAAAGCAAGGACAGGGTCCTAGACCTTCCTGCCACCACACAGGTCCTGGGGAAAAAGGTTCAGTGGTTCCCTAGGGATGCTCACGAGCTGCCCTCCCTGGGCAGAGCAGAGCTGCGACTTGATCCTGTTATAAGCATGCCGTCACCTGTTCTGAGACATGGCCCATGGGCAAGCCACCCTCTGGCTGTCTCTCCTCCACGGGCAGAGACATAGTGCTCAATTTTATATCTCATCTGTCTGCACAAGCGCCCTTTGCTTCCTGGGCGGGTTACAAGTGCAGTGCTGCTTGCAGCCATTGCCTCACTGGGCTCCCGTGCCCCCAAACCCTGCACTGGGCTCAGCAGTCTGAGCTCAGTCTGCTAGTGCCTCCCGTAGATCTGGTGATCCCAACTGAACCCAGGGCACAGCCCTGATTTAGCAACCACCCACCAGACAGAGCCCTCTCTGCAGCCCCCAGCTGAAGGGACTGGGCTGTTTCACCACCTGGCTCTGTGCCATTTCCTGCAATTGTGCAGTTCCCCATTATGAAAGCAGCAGTGGGGGCAGATGCCGGCTCCTCGTGCTTCCTACAAGAGAAGCTGCTTGCTTCCACTGCACCAGCAGCTTCAGTGTGCACAGGTCACACATGGGCACTGGGTGCTCACATCCATTTATCTCCAAAAGCATTTCAAGGGTGTTGGCGCACCCTTGAAGGAGGGTGAGAGCAGAGCACTGCCCAGCAAACTTGCACCATGCTTCAACAAGCCCCTCTGCACAGCTGCAGCCACGGGAAGTGAAGGCAGCACCTGCTCCCCTTCGTTAGGCTACACAGGTGGTCACCCCCCCACCAGCTTCCACTGGGTTCCTCCCACAACACTCCCAGCCCCTGGCACAGCCCCTAGCCCCCACTGGCAGCCCAGCCCTGCACCAAAACAACTATGGAGGGCCCAGTCACACAGAGGGCACATTTTATTTACACATCATTAATTTTTATTTACACATCATTAATAAGGAAATGTCCTCACCAGTGCAGATCTGAAGTAGGACAAGGAGAGATGCTCAACAGGTACCACTAAGCTGCACTCCAGGAGACACCACTTGCCAGCTCAAAGTGTTTCTGCACAGACCTGGGGTGCAACCAGAGCCGGCTGACTGCCTCACCAGCCAGTGCAGCAAAGCTCAGGCACACGAGGACATAGCTTTGAAACCAGCCTACAGCCAGGAAAGCCTTCAGAAGAGCAAACAGCTCTGCTGTTCTCTGCTCCACGCACCCCTCTGCAGCCCAGTTCAAGGCATGCCTTCTCTCCCTGAGGCATGCACCAAAATCCCTGCTCCCAGGGCTGTGGGAGATGAAAGGCTCAGCCCCTACAAAGGGAAACAGCACGCGTGGCTCAGGAGGAACTCCACAGCACCTTCTCTAGCCAGGCCAGGAGCCGTGCCCGTAGCTCAACACCTAGCAGGAACAGGGGAAACACAGGGTCTGTCGCAATGGCAGGACTGCTCCCTGCCAGGGCACTGAAGGTCAGCTCGCCATCTCACACCCAGAAATCAGGCAACACTGCAGGATTAAAGGGAAGGGACAAGGGACAGATGCTTGTGGCCATCAGACACAGTAAGAAGTACAGGACCCAGCCTGTTCACCTCCACTTGGGCAGGGAAGAAGCAGCATTCATCACCACCTGCCTCCAGTCAGATCAGGTACAGGCACCTCAGGCCCAATCGCCTTCACCCTCCATATGCCACAGCCCATCCCCACAAGCCACAGGACACACCCCGAGCTGCAGGCCACGTCAGCAGCCATAGCAAAGTTCCCACAATTTCCTACCCCATCTCAGATAGGGTCCTGCTATGGACATACAGAGCAGAGTGTAAAATCAGGTCATCCCTAAAACAATTCCTCCCTGGTAAACCCTCTGAGCTGCCAGCATTCAGGAGTATTCGAAAGCATTTGCTTTGATAAATTATCTATTAACACAGCTCTGCTTGTCCCTGCCCAGCAGGGTGCCCGGTGTCACCCCAACAGGCAGAAGGAGGCGGCAGTCACATCTCATCGGCACGGTGCTGCTGGATGACAACGCTGGCAGTGCGTTCCACCCACTCCTGCCTCTTGGCTTTCCACGCTGCCAGCACCGCTGTGTGCAAAGGGTCATTCTGGGAGTGCTGCTCCTGAGGCTGGGGAGGGCCCAGCTCAGAGCCCGCTGCTGCTGGAGGGTCGGAGGATGAGTTGCTGTTGAAAGCAGATCTGGGATTGGGCTTGGGTGGACTCCGTCCCTCTTTCCATGACTGATTGAGGCTGCCCAACAGGGGGTCCTCAGGCTCTGGGTTGAGCCTCTCCAGTGCAGTGTCCTCCTGCACATCAGGTGCTGCCTGCCTAACCTGGTTTGGGAACTCATGGATCTGCTGTGACAACACTGCAAGAGAGGGAGAGCCAGCCTTGTCATTCCCACCTTGAGAGTGGGACACACCAGCCTCTCACGGTCCTGCTCTGAGCATGGGCCACTGCAGAGCCCACAAGAGGGGAACAAACTGTTCAGCTAGGGCTGCCTCCTCCTGGAGAGGCAGGGAGAGGATGCTGCACAGCCACCAGGCACAAGCACAGCTTGTGCTCCAAGAGGGACTGGATACATCCAGTTCTGGTACCATCCTTGGCCCAGGGCCCTGCTGCCAGGCAGGCCTCCACAACAGGACTGAGGAAGAGTCCAGAGCTGGGGCAAGACAGCAAAGCCAAACCAAGTGGTCATCCCAGGCAACGGGCTGCTGGGTTGGAGGCGCTCCAGAGTTCAGGCTGTCTCCGAGGAAGGTGCTCTGCCCCTGAAGGCAGCACTTCACCTGGAACCATGCCTCAGCCCCCAGGCACTCACCTCTGAGCTCCAGCTGTTGCTCTCTGCTCCCAAACGAGTAGAGGCTGGGGGAGAGAATGAGGCAGAAGGACAGAACCAGGACCTGGAAACAGAAAGATCAGCAAAGCCCTCAAAGGACATAAATAGGCATCACTGGCCGCAATAAACGCCTTTCTCCCAGACTCATGGGGACAGCAGAGGCCCCTTCACAGACACTGGGGCTGAAGCCACTCACCATGATGCAGGTGCTTGCTGTGGTAGTTTTGGTGGTGGACTGTCTCACCAAGGCCTGCAGTTTCCACAGCTGCTCAAGCAGTGACCTGCAGGAGCAGGCAATGCAGCAGCTGAACCAAGAGCTGCACTTCCCCTCCTGACCCTTTGCAGCCCAGGGACAGCCACAATCCCAAGAAGAGGAACAACCTTCCCCACCACATCTCCTGCCATGTCCAACAACGAGAACTCACATGTTCTGCTTCTGCAGCAGCTGCACCTTCTTCTGCAGCTTGTGGTTCTGAGCCATACAGGCTGCCATCCTTCCCAGAAAAGATGAACAGCACAGGGGAAAAACAGAGATATTTTGTTAGTCAACAGCAGGGACTCCACCAGAGTCTCTCCCTCAGGGAATCAGCCACCAACTCCAGGTGGCTGGGGCAGCTACAAGTGCTCCTGGGGTCTACCTGGCACCAGCTGGAGCAAAGCCCAGAGTGACATCTCACACCAGGTTTCGGGAGGGGTAAGCCCTGCCCAGTCCCGCAGAGAAGCACCAGATTAATCCCTAAGGATGCTCGCTCCTAGCAGCGCACCAGCCCTGCAGATCAGCAACACCAGGCTGTATTACAAACTAGCCTAACCTGGAGAACACACTAGACCTCGCAGGCCAGTACCTGGCTCAAATAGAGCAAGCTCTGGGTCATCTCCAAGCCTAAGAGAGCAGGGCATGATATGCCCTGAACTTCTGAGCCTCTTGAGAAGACCACAGGGCTCAGCCTCACTTTCTGCCCAGGGCAGCAAGACCCCAGCAGCAGCACAGCATGGCTGCTGTGTGCCCGTACCTGTTTTCCAGGCCATCCACATAGATCTTCTTCCTGTGACGACTATCCTGGGCTGACTGCTTGTTCCGGATCTTCCGACGCACTTTCTTCAGAAGCCGCTCTTCAGCCTGCAAGGGCCGTTTCTCATTAGCAGCCACCCCAGGGCATTGGCAATCCAGCCCTTGCAAATCCTGCATACATCTCAGAGCTCAGCCCTGCTTAGAAAGGCAGCAACCCACGTGCTTTTGTCCTCTGTCCCTCCCACACCGCTGAATGAACTGCATGAGCTGCAAGGCAAACTCTGGCCTGCTGATGAGGCCAGCAGTTTCTCCAGTGTAGCAGAAGAGTGAGACACACATAAGGGAGATGAAAAGCACACAGCTCGCAAGACATGAAGCAAGTGGAAAGAAAAAGGCACTTGTGGTGTAACTGCCTCCAGCAAGCAGTCACAAGTGGGGAGACTGACAGCAGCCAGGTCTTGCTGCTCTTTGTATCTACCTGACTAGCAAAGCAGAGGCTGCTGTGCACGTGGACACCCCCCAGGCCTCGAAGGGAGGAGGAAGACACCAAGCCCTGCCACATGCTGCCCTGAATGCAGCACCTAGGTGCTAACGCTCTCACCAAGGCACCATCCTGCATTTTCAACCCCTACTCTGGTTGAAGGGTTTGAGTGGTCCAAGTCTGTTTGGGAGTGACAGGCTGTAGTGAGGACTCACTTTGGTCAGTGGCAGACAGGTTGGTAATGAAACACCTTCTTTCTCCAGGAGCTGCCTCTCCTCCTCTGTCAGGACCAGCTCTGGGAAGTCAGACTAGAAAACAGCAAAAATACGCCTGCTGAGAATGCAAAGTAAAGGGAGTCCACCCCAGGGCAGAGAAGGCATGCAGAAAGCCTACAGAACCAGGATCAGCTCTGCCAAAGCAGCATCACGCTTTCCTCCAAGATATCCCTCACAGGAGCCAAGCCAGGAGAGAAGGGGAAATGTGAGCAAAACAAAGGCTGGGGCCCACACACTTCCTAAGGCATGGCAGTCAGTACCTGCACAGTGGCTCCAGGCACAAGCTGGGGTCCAGTGTCCACAGCAACAGCAATAGGGAAACTGGAGCTCTGTTCCAGCGCCTCACTTGTGCCTTCCAAACCCACCCATGTCTCTGGGGAAGGAAAGGAGAGTCAAGCTCTGGGCCTCAGTGAGGCAGCACTCAACCAGCCAGCTTTGAGTAGCACAAAACCACAATTTTATGGCAGCAGAAAGCCACCAAACTCTGCTTTCTCTATCGCTGCCTGGCACCTCCCCAAAAACCCCTATGTGGGACTGCTTTTGTGCCTGTAGCCAGGACAGAAAGAGCCCACACACATCACTTACCAAGGTCAATGGAAACATCTCCTTCTGCCATTTCAGACTTCACACTTTCAAGCGCAGGCCAATCCCGATGGAGGGAATAGTTGTGATCAAACTGCACAATGTCTGAGCTCTGAGGGCTGCCGGCAAAGTCACTGCCAGGGCTATGGGACAGATTCTGATCTTCAGAAATGCTGCTGTCACCGTCAGCAGGCGAATAACCCTGCAGCATGCCTGGTTCATCTTCAAAGGGACTCAGCAGGGAGCTGATGAAGTCATCCATCTCCTTGTTCAGGAGCTGCAGAGAAAAAGCTTTTAATAAGCAGGGAGCCAAACCTTATTTAAACCAGCAGCAATTCTTCCTGAAGAGCTTACCTCAGGCTCTGGCAGGCCCCAGTCTTCCAGCAGACCGTTCTCCCCTGGGATTTCAGGGAGCAACATCCTTCAGGAGGAAGTCAAGCAGGTCCTCATCTGCCAGGGCAGCCAATTCCTCTGGGCATGACATCTGAGCAAAACACCCAAAGTGAGAACAAGCCCCAGAGGAGACGCCAGCACTTCTCTGGGATGTCACTCAGCCCCTACTGACAAAGTCTCCCCGTGCAATGGCAACAGCTGCCAGGGCCCTGCAGCAATGAACAGGCCATAAGTACTGTCCCAACAAGGCTGTTAGCTGCAGCGGTGGCCCCACCAGACTACTGGGACCCAGCCACAGGAGCCAGGCTCCACCCAGAATGCAAAAGCTGCAGGAAGGAGAGGGAAAGTGGAAGGGCCCCAGACTTTTTGCCATGGAGGGTATGCAAGATCCTGCCATTCCACTGAAGCCCAAAGGTGCCATACCCCTGGCATGCAGCCAGCTGGGACAGCCTCCCCATTAGCACGGTTAAGATTTCAGATCTAGCTGACAGGTGTCACAGCCCCCCCCCCCAAAGGATAAAAGCCCAGGGCAGACTCCAGTCACAGGGCTGCTGTACCAGCTGCCTAGGAGCAGGAAGTTGGTGTGCAGGGCTGCCCTGCCAGATGGCACGGAGAGCAGAGTCTAGCCAGCAGGAAGCAGAATAGTGAGAGGAATGGAGGAATGTGAGGTGGGCAGAGTCCAGGCAATGCTGGGGCCCATTGTTTCCACAGACATGAGGACTTTCTATCTAGGAAGCATGCACTGGGCAGGCAGCAAGGAGAGGAAGAGAACAAGAGGAGGCAACAGCATGTGAGGTAGAAGGGTCACAGGAGCATGCAGGGCAGATACCATTCCCCCTGCCTGGACACCCACCCAAAGGAAGCCAAAAAACCTCTCAGCCTCAGCCGTGGGGCTGGCCCACAGGCAAGCACGGCGTGCCGCTGCCTGGGGCACAGCCAGAGCCTGCAGCCAACGAGTCCTTGCCGGGCAGCACAACCCGAGGCCTGACAGCGGCAGCCCCACGCGGGAGGGCCAGGCGCCCCACCGGCGGGCTGTCAGCGGCAGGCTATGCCAC